GTCTATGGTCATTTCTAAGAACACGGTGAACACGGCTTGCTGAAATTCCCAAGGCACCAGAAACTCTCCTAACACTTGTGGTCGGATCTCTATCAAACTCACGCAGAATCATACGGATAAATCTGCGCTGACGAACATTTATGTTTTGATCCATTTGGAGATTTCCAAAACCATCTTCAATTATTTGGCGATGCACTCTTACAAATACTGAGCGAGTTGGATGTCGTCTGTTTGGAAATCTTCGTGCGTATTCTCTGGCTCTAACTAAATTTCGTGCATTCACAATTGCAAAAAAACGTTTCAGGTTTCAACGGACAACAAAACTAATTGTCAACTAATTGACGTTTAACCTTATTCTGCTTTCAATTTCAAAAATATTTGCAGGCACAGCCTACTTCTAAAAATTATCGAGATACTGACTTTTTAACGTTATTTTATCATTAATAATTAAAAATGCATCGAACCTTAAAAATCAAAATATCTCAAAAACGGCTAACTATAAGGAAAATTCACAAAAGAGCTTTTTTATGCTGAAAAGCGCGAAGAATCAGTTTTTTTATTCAAAAAGCAAAAAATTGCACTAAGAAAAAATGTTCGGTCATTTTAATACACTACAGGTACAGTAAAGAGCGCCCTCTAGCGGCTACAGTAAAACTATGGTTCGTTTTGTCGTACCAAAAAACCCTTGTATACCAATTTTTACTGTGATACATCAAATATTGTTCGAAATATTTAAAAAAACCTATTTTAGAAAGTAAATTTAAACACCCTGTATTTCGGAAGCCACGCATTTTTCGACCCATGTTTATATAGACGTTATGCATTAATTTTAAAAGTTCTATCGAATCTTAAAGTTGTGCAACAATAAACTGAATCACCCTGTATAAACAAAGATTATATATTTTTTCATTATTTATAAACTGCTTCCACAGTCAAACCAATAATGCAATGTTGCAGGATTTGTATCTATCCTGAACTTTCAGTTCAACCTAAAATCGGAGAACCATTAGATCGATCTGGAATTGATCCCAAACAAATTCGACAGAAATTTGTATTTGAGCGTAGAAAACAAGGCGTTGCAGCAAGTTACAGTTGTGTTCTGTGGCCTTCATGTGCCAGGCAACGTGGTATGTGGCGCACTCTTTGACTCTTTCTACACAAGTGGTGCCCGCTTGACCCCCGCTCTCACTTACTCGTATACATGGAAATCTAAAAGGGAAAAGGACATTCGCCAGCACTATATCCAAGTAGTTGAACTATGATTTGCTATTGTATACATTGTATACGTATATCGAGACGTATATATTCACCATTGTATACGCGTATACAATGGTGTATTATACATGGCGCATACAATGCGCCGTCACTGTTTAAAAGCACCTTCAGATTAAAAAACCGGTTGCCGAATGCATCAGAGCAATACGATTTTCACCAACCTAACGCTTTGCTCAGAATGACGTAATACACAGAAGCAAGTCAAACAATACAAAGCATAACTATTATTAACATTAGAGGAGCTATTATTAGCTTGCAGCATTTTGTATTTACCTAGTTCACTGCCAGTGCACAGCATAGCGATCTACGAGAAAAAAAAAAGTGCACACCGAAACGGATTTATTTGCATCTAATTTCACACCGTTCGGTGGTCCGGACTATTTACTCTACCAGATTGGATAGTTTGGACAAAGTATACGAAATGCTAGTAGTAGGACCACTCAGTGGTTAAACCAGTTTGACTGTTGGTCGTTGACTTGTTAGACTATTGTCGGAGGCAAGACCGATCCCTGGGGAGCATCTGCGTTGACATTGTGGGATGAAGAGGAAAAGCCGGCAATTATTTAGTTATTTAAACCCTTACAAACAGATTTGAATGTAGTTACATGTAGGAGTGCATACTGGCTAGTAGACAAACAGAGAATACACAAAAACTTATAACAAAAAAATAACGACAAAGAAAAACTATAAAAATTAACAAACAAATAAGATGAGATAAGGATGTTTTACTTAAAATCAGTCTTAATTTGTCTCACAGTAGTCAAAAGGAGTTCCACATCACAATTTTGTATACTAAGTGACATATAAATCCGAACACCCAGTTTAAATGGTTTTATTTTAATAAAATTTTGTATAAGTACTAAATGAAGCATAATAAGTAAATGATAAAAATTTCAAAATGATTGAACTGCTTTAAAGCCCTTTGACCTTTAATAATGTGTGGATGCACCCTGATGTGCTACACATTCTCCAACGCGCCTAGGCATGCTTCTGATCAGGTGGTCAATGTCCTCCTGTAGTATCTCATTCCAGGCAACCACCAACTCCTCTCGAAGTGCTTTTAGAGTCTGAGGAGGACGTTGCAAATTGAGCAATCTCCTACCCATCATATCCCACACGTGCTCAATTGGGGATAAGTCGGGAGATCTTGGTGGCCATGGTAACAATGTGACATCATTATGTTGAAAGAAGTCTATTGTGACTCTTGCAACATGTGGTCGGGCATTATCTTGTTGGAAAGTTGGATCTGCCAGGGTGTCAAGATAGGGTAAAAGATGGGGTTCTAGAACTTCGTGGATATAACGCCGCGCGTTCCATGTTACCTCTGATGAAGATTAAAGGTGACCTGGAACCATAAGCTATAGCACCCCAAACCATAACTCCAACAGTGTGATGAACATGTCTTTCAACAAAAAACTGTGGATTCCTCCTTTCATCAGTAATCAGTAATGGAACAGTATTGTCTTTAGTGACGAGTCTCGATTTTGTTTAGGCTTGCACGATGATCGTGCCAGGGTTAGAAGGCGACGTGGTGAAAGGAGGAATCCACAGTGTTTTGTTGAAAGACATGTTCATCACACTGTTGGAGTTATGGTTTGGGGTGTTATAGCTTATGGTTCCAGGTCACCTTTAATAATCATTTAAACTGGGTGTTCGGATTTATCTTAACACTGTGCAGCCGTTTTAGCCATGTTGCAAAAATCATAGCTTATTAACATCGTGCTTAAAAGCTGACGTATGTACTAGATTGCAAATATATTCTAGACATTCCAGTGCCGAGATGGCATAGTTGATGCGCCTACTTTGTTGCTTTGAGAATGTGAATGTGACAATTAGTTTATATAAAGTTGGTTAATTATTCCGACTGGAATATAACGTTAACTCAATTTTTGTGCAATTGCAATGATATCTAAGAAGCCTATCATATATCAAGGGTATTAGAATTCAAGAATTTTTTAAATATTGATTTATTTTGCCATAAACAACAAGTGATACAGTGTCAGTTAAATGCACTAGCTGATAGAAACTTGTCGTAAAATCACTAACAATGTTTGGCTCTGATGTGATGTGAAATCTGTGTCCGATTTGGCATTACTGGAGGTAACGGCAATGCATAGGTGCATAGTGAGGATTTGTGTGCTGAAAATATGTGTTGATGATAATTCCATTGGATTCTTGTCTTGAATACACTTACTTGAGACTGAAAGCTGGAAATTAGTTGCGCATCCATTTTTTCTTATCCATTCTAGAAATTACAGATTATGCCAATTTGCTGAACTTAAAAAATGACAGAGATAAGAAATATCTATATTCACTGTACACTGTCGAACTATAAGTCATATACATACAGTAATTACACACACGCGGACGCGGTGGTGATTTCCTGTAATACTCCTCAAAATGTTTGTAAACTCAAAGAAATGTAAGAAATCGTAATTTATAACTTTGAACCTGTCGTTAGGAAGGACAACACATAAATAACTCGTCGGGCACAGCTAGTAGGTATACTTCATTGGCAGCATACCCAGTAATGATTTTCTCACACAGCAAATATCACGGATTTTATGCACATGCAGAACAATACCCACAATCATCCAGATGTGTACTATCAGGTTAACATTACCGTAGCATAGCTCATATGTAATAGTAGGATGCCGAGCAAGAGTGAAAAGGTCCGTCTAGGATCTAGGATATAGAAGCAATATCTTGGATTCATGAAAAGCACAAAAAAATGATGTAACCAAAAGGTCGTCAGCAGTACTTAATAGTATGATAGAAGAGTTTCACTAAAAGGATTCACAATCTACAAAAAGTACATGAAATATGCGCCTCAAATCCGAAAATTTTTGGGATTGCCTATGTTCGGGGAATATTTTGAGGAAATTTTGCTTAGCTCACATGTTTATATGAACTTTTATAGTTGAATTTGCTTCACAAATGCATATTTATGATTCGGCACGGGTATTACGTATCCTGATAAGTGACATGATGTCGATTTTTTTTGACATTACGAGTACATTGGTTTTTGTGACATTATGTAGGTTTTCCTACAAGATGTTAACTTAGCACTAGCTCATGGACACTTGTTGTGAACTCACTAAGAATGTTTGGCTCTGATGTGATGTGAAATCTGCTTCAGAGATGGCATTACTGGAGGTAACGGCAATGCATAGGTGCATAGTGAAAATTTGTGTTTTAATAATATGTGTTGATGATAATTCCATAGGATTCTTATCTGAAATACACTTATTTGAGATTCAAAGCTAGAAATTAGTTGCGCATCTACTTTTTCTTATCCATTCTGGAAATTACAGATTATGCAAATTTGCTGAATTTAAAAAATGAATGGTGATTTCCTGTAATTCTCCTCAAATTTTTTGAAAACACAAAAAAATATAAAAAACTGTAACTTATAACTTCGAACATAACCTGTCTTCAGAAAGGAAAACATATAAATAACCCGTCGGGCACAGCTCTTTGGCAGCATAATAATTTCCTCACAAAGCAAATATCATTCATTTTAACCACATGCAGACCAATACACAAAAGCATATCATGCTCGGCTTCACAAAACATATGCAACCAATAATGCGTGTAGTTGAGCTATCCCTCCATAGATGGACGTCCACAACGATCCTAATGAGCAAACTTGGAATTACTGTTTGCGCCACAATAACTACCTAGCCTGCAAGATGTCATTTTATAGGTTTTTTACATAATACCCGTGCCGGGATACTATCAAGTAACGCTTTGTATAAAATTCGTTCAATTTCCGCTCCTGCATTCGCCTGATTCCGTGAACAGAAAACAAATGCAGGTAAATTTTCAAGAAGATATCAGCGAATACAATAAAAAGCATCAGTCTGTACACTTGTGTTATGTTATCACTTAGTTAATATTTCAAAGGGACTTGTTATAATTATTAGGCACATATTGTGCCTTGTTAGTCTATCTATGATTTTGCAGTTTTTATTTTGTATAGGCCAAATACAACGAATTAAAATCTTGGCATGATCCTGCATTTTGATGAGCGGAATATTCACATGTGCCACTGCCAATGTCGCCTGCTAATTATAATTTTTATATTACATTCGTTCAGTATGCATTCTGCTATCGAAACCTTAATCCAGAATACTGATAGTGAATAATAATGGTGCTTCGAGATCAACTCAGGCTGAAACTGTTGGAAGTTAAAGATGAAGAGGAGTACAGGCAAGTGTTTCTATTTCTTTACATTTTTGAGGTATGCTGCCCAAATTTTCGTATATGAAACGCTCATTGTTCGCTTTTTGGATATCTTTGATTATCAATTTTGTACAATTTGTATTTGTATTTATGAAGGACGCCGCACAAGACAAGAAAATGGGGTCTAGTCTAATTACATAGAAATTCAGTATAGAAAGTTTGCCTATTTGCAAAAATGGTAAATGAGCTCATAAAATCGATTTTTAAATTACTGGAGAAAATCATCTAATGAAGCAAAAACTAAACGAGAGGTTTTTGCAGCATTGGCACCATACAAGGAAGTAGAGAAGAATTTACGCAACGAAGCTAAACAGTCAAAAATTACGTCTTATTTTTCTAAAAATTAATACTTTTGTCAAAAAATTAAAGCTTATAATATGTACAAACAAATCTATGTATATTATGTATTTAACAAAAGTTTATCTAATAAAATGTTTTTGTTTCGATATACGCGGTTTCTTTTTACGCGTGTTTTCAAAGAACGTTACCTCCGCGTAAAACGAGAGACGCCTGAGTATTTGGTCTGTTTATTACATAGATTTGGTTTGGTCCCATGGCCAATTTTGTTTAAGAAAATGAGAAATATATCCTACTCAATTCTTAGACGAATCGACTGAAACCCATTTTCAATATGTTTTGTGCACAGTCCTTTACAAATACAAATGGTACGCCAAAATTGTCAATTGAAGATTTCCAAAAAGCGAGCATTAACTTAGGGTCATATCGTCAGTCGTTCTTACAATTGTAGGACGCGTTTATGGCCTCCTTGATTTTCATAGTCTTTTCCCTCCTTCAGAAAGGCTGAGTTATTTCTAGATTTCACCTAATCCGTACCGGATTCAGCTCTCTCCGTTTGTGAGGTTATGTTTTCTTTTTAAATTGTAGAAAATTTCATTCTGTTAAAACAGCACGAACAATTTGATGCAAACAGATACTTGTCACATAACCTTAAAATGCAACGCTAACACGGAACAGTAGAAAACTATGAAAATTAAGGAGGCTATAAATTGACTGACGATAGGTCCCTTATATACTGACATATGGTTTTTGTTTCAAGGTTGATGTTAACAAATGATCCTATTACACCATACGCCCCATGGTTTTATACCTGGGTTGAACATGGGCAGCTAGCAGCATTTGCTTGGCCCCAAACCAAAGGCAACTTGACCTATATGTGGAATGATGGTAGGTAATGCATTTTTGTACCGAGAAGAAGTTTCTGTATATCTTGTCATATACGAAAGTTCCATAGATTTCAAAGCTGTTGACACTGGCGTGTCTATGGTCTGTCGACAATGACTAATTAGTTACAGACAAACCGGCACGGGTAACACGTATCTTGAAAAGTGACATTATGCTGTTTTTTTAATCTTATGTAGGTTTTTCTACAAGATGTTAACTTAGCACTTAGTTGTACGTGTTGCCTAAACGTTAGGAGGCTTGTTATCAATATTTGGCTCTGATGTGATGTAAAATCTGCTTCTGAGATGGCATTACTGGAGGTCTAAGCTGTTAGTTGTATGTGTTGATGATTATTACATTGGGTTCTTGTCTCAAATACACTTAATTGAGATTCAAAGCTAGAAATTAGTTGCGCATCCACTTTTTCTTATCCATTCTGGTAATTAGATATACAAATTTGCTGAATTTCAAAAATGAGAGAGATAAGAAATAATTATATTCACTGTTCACTGTCGAATTACAAGCCGTATACATGCTAACAGTAATTACACACAACGCGGGCGCGGTGATGATTTCCCGTAATTCTCCTCAGTTTTTCGTAATTTATATCTTTGAACATAACCTCTCTTCAGAAAGCACACCATATAAATAACCCGTCATATTCGGCATATTCAGTAATGATTTTCTCACACAGCAAATATCACTAATTTTATACACATGCAGACCAATTCACATAATCATCCAGATGCGATCTTGCTATTCAACCAACTACAGACACGGATCACTCAGCCTCTCAAAACTATGCAACCAATAATGCGTGTTTAGTTGAGTGATTGCTCCATAGATGGACGTTCACAACGAGCAAACGTGGAATGACTGTTTGCACCCTAAAAACTACCTGGTCTGCAAGTTCGCATCTTATAGGTTTTTTTTGACGTTTTATAGGTTTTTTACATGATACCCGTGCCAGTTTGCCCTTATGAGGGCTCATCAGTATAAGATAAAGTAATGATCAAAAGGTGGAGAGATACGATGAAAATTTTCTTCACGATAAATGAGAAGCATTTGATCTGACTAAGAGTGAGTTTTTGTGGAGAGCTATATTTAGTTTATATATATATATATATATATATATATATATATATATATATATATATATATAGGTGAAAAATTAAAGCTTCCGCCTTTTGTTGGGTACTTCGACAAAATTTAAGCAAAGAGGACTCTTTATACTTTTTTTAATTCTCTCTAGCTTTCAATGGACTTTGCCATCATCCTCAGGAGCTGCAATTACAATGATAACAGTAGCAACAAAGGTGTAAAATGAATTTAAATTGACTCAACTTACAGTAGTATGTGAGGATGTTGCTAATTGTTGTTTACGTCTAGGATGAGGGAAACGTCCAGTAACATGGTGAGAGCTGGATAGATTGTACAATAGTCAAACTTATATAAAATATGACAAGAACAAGTTAAAAACAGATTAAAAATTATTTAAAAAATTAGAGCATTACATCGTGAAGCCACTTGATGATTGCAAAAATTAGTGGTCATTGAAATACTGACATTGACATCCTTCGGCCTTCTGTCAAAGGGTTTCATGTCACTCATCATTCCATGACCACTAATTTGTGCAATCATCAAGTGGCTTCACGATGTAATGCTCTAATTTTTTAAATAATTTTTAATCTGTTTTTAACTTGTTCTTGTCATATTTTATATAAGTTTGACTATTGTACAATCTATCCAGCTCTCACCATGTTACTGGACGTTTCCCTCATCCTAGACGTAAACAACAATTAGCAACATCCTCACATACTACTGTAAGTTGAGTCAATTTAAATTCATTTTACACCTTTGTTGCTACTGTTATCATTGTAATTGCAGCTCCTGATGATGATGGCAAAGTCCATTGAAAGCTAGAGAGAATTAACAAAAGTATAAAGAGTCCTCTTTGCTTAAATTTTGTCGAAGTACCCAACAAAAGGCGGAAGCTTTAATTTTTCACCTAACTGGTCTAGACGACAATGACCACGTCTCAAGTTATATATATATATATATATCAATTGCAACAACTGCAACCAAAATATACATAGGTCAGACCTCCAGATCTCTTAAAGGAAGGATTACATCACACAAAAGTGATGCTAGGCTTCATCCTGAAAGATGCGCTCTAGCATCTCATGTTAACACAACAGGGCATTCTATGAATTACACAAGTATCAAAGTTCTTGATAAAGAAAAACACCTTTCCAAACGTTTATTCCTGGAAATGTCCCACATTTTCATGAATAACAACTGTATCAACAAAAAGACAGATGTTAAACAACTGAGTGTCATTTACTCATATTTGCTAAACTGCGAAAAATTGGAGAACTTACATATCTCCCCAAATTTCAACTCTTCACAACCATAATTAGAATCTGTGTTTTGGCCGTTTCCACCAGTAAATTTTATTCCACTCAAAATATAATAATTCTCTCCTCACGATTTATTAATAATTGTTAATTTAAATTCCCATCAATAATAATATAGTTTATTCAACTGCCTCTGGTCGGTTTAACAAATTCCAACATAAAATTCTGAAAATCTCTTCATCTGAAGTGATTTGGCAACGTTTTTGGCACACGCCCACAATTCGTTCCATCTTTCAATACTGACATTGACATCCTTCGGCCTTCTGTCAAAGGGTTTCATGTCACTCATCAATTCATCATTCCATGACCACTAATTTGTGCAATCATCAGGTGGTTTCACGATGTAATGTTCTAATTTTTTTAAATAATTTTTAATCTGTTTTTAACTTGTTCTTGTCATGTTTTGTATAAATTTTGACTATTGTGCAACCTATTCAGCTCTCACCATGTTACTGGACGTTTCCCTCATCCTATACGTAAACAACAATTAGCAACATTCTCACATACTACTGTAAGTTGAGTCAATTTAAATTCATTTTACACCTTTGTTGCTACTGTTATCATTGTAATTGCAGCTCCTGATGATGATGGCAAAGTCCATTGAAAGCTAGAGAGAATTAAAAAAAGTATAAAGAGTCCTCTTTGCTTAAATCTTGTCGAAGTACCCAACAAAAAAGCGGAAGCTTTAATTTTTCACCTATATATATATATATTTAAGCCAGGAAGTGGGAAATATTTGGAAATACAAAAAATTTTAATTCCAAGGTAAAGGGTTTTGAAATAAAAATTTTACTACAGTATTGATCGACGGTGGAACGTGAATATCAGTTCCCGTAAAGGACTTGAAAAGGTATATTCACATGAAAATTTTAGGATTATACTCAGCTGCTGATGCTTCCCTTAAAATAATATTAAAAATATCTCAGAAGCAAGATAAAAGCCTTACGTGTCTCAGTTTATATATCTTCGGTTTAATTTGTTTAGTAAAACTTTTGCACTTATTGCTTTTGTTTTATCCCAGGGTCTGACATTCTTAATTTCTTCATATTCTTGGAACATGTAGATGTTAAAAAGTGCCCTTCTTCAAGCTGTCAACATTTCGGCTTTATTTTTAGCCTTCTTCAGGGCCAAAAAATGTGAAAAATTGTAAGGTTTCAAAACCGTAAATTAAGCATTGAATGAAAAAGTACAGTTGATAATATTCTTCAAGAAAATACACAAAAGCATAAAAATCACATAAAAGCAAAAATCAAAAACAACGAAAATAATCGTGTGCACATATGGTTTTGGAACTTCAACAACTGAAAAACGTAAAAATAAAAGTGGAACATTGTATACGAGGTGTGTAAATTAAGTAATGAAGCTGGCAACGTTGCGTTCATTCTAGCAACACTGGAGGCGCCGGGCTTATAGAAGAGACAGGGTAGCATGTGATCCGCTTTCAGTACAAGTTTGAACTCGCTCGAGACATTTGGTTGCCGGTAGCGATTTCTTTGCTGAAACACTTTTTCCTATTGCGTTCTAAAAATGAATGACATCAATGACACTGCAACGAAAACTCTTGATAAGCTTTAGCACTAAAAACATTCCGGTAGCTCATCGCCTCCTTATTCACCTGACTTGAGACCTTGAGTATTTTTTCTCTACCTAAAGTTAAAAAATCATCTTAAGGGAACCCAATTTGGGACAGTCGAAAACATTCAAATGGCTGTAACCGACGAGCTGAAGGCTATTCCAGTATTCGAGTTCCAGCACTGCTTTGAGGAGTGGAAGAACCGTCTTCAGCGCGGTGTGGCTTCAGAAGGAAGTTATTTTGAGGGTAACAATATAAAATTGTAATTATATTTGAGTAAAAAAATAAAATATCAGTCTCATCAATTAATTTACAGAGCTCGTAGATTTAAAGTAACAAATGTATGTATAACAACATATTATGTTCCGTCCTCGTCGAAGTAAATATTTAGAATACATATCGTAGGACCCTCGTAGTAGTACCCAACCGCCACGATTTCAAAGCGCGCGCGCAGACAAGGAAACCGGCACCGCGCCCCTTCCCTCTACCTTTCTCCCCTATGGCCGCCTATAAACCTTCATTTCTTGTACTCGTGCCCGACCGTCAATCGGCGTGCGTTTAGAATTAGAAAACACGAGAGAAGGTTGGCCGATAGATGTGCTTTGTCGAACGAGATACCGACCGACGGTCGCCTGAAGATTGCTTTCGTCGCCGACCAAAATTAGAAAGTGGCGTGCAGGCCTCTTTTTCTGAAAGAGCGTCACCATCAGGTAACTGTCAACTAACCGATCTCTCTTAGGTGCAATTAAATGAATATTAGTATGGATGCCTCATCGGCGCTGCAAATTGTGCTTAGCAATGGCGTTTGGGATAACGTTCTGACACTGTTGCTTGGGATAGCAACCTGAACCTAGCTTGTGATAGCCAACTTCATACCTAGGACGAACAAAGACGTTTGGGATAACGCTGAAACATTGGACTTGGTTGCTTGAGATAGCAACGTGGACCCGACTTGGGATAGTCAGCTCCACACCAAGGACCAACGAAGACGTTTGGGATAACGCTGAAGCATT